TGTTGCAACCTAGAAGGCACAAATTTGACTAACAAGTTATAAGTACATGATTCCAAAAATTATGGAAAAGTAAAAGAAAAGAGTCTTTCATTGTTTTACAAACCCTCCCCCAGGTCCCCTCCACCATGTAGCCCTCGCTCTAGTCTCCTGTGAGCCACTGTTAGAGTTTTTAAAAAAAAAAAAAAATATCATTCCTGAGAGATTCTATGCCTTCAAAAAGAACCATGCTCTTGGGGTTTCAGACTTAACAATATTTTGAAGTTACCGTTTCATTCAGGTAGAAAAATCTGAATTTTTTTTATCAGAAACCTCTGTGAAGAGAAAGAATTAGCTAGTACTTCCTGAGCTTTTAACAAGCAAATTGCCCTGTTTATTTCCCAAGGAACCCTGATGACATTGTGTGGAACCTGTTAGGCTGTTATCAGAAAGGTCAGAAGTTCAGATCCACCAATTGCTTTGTAGGAGAAAGATAAGCCAATCTCCTCCCATAAAGTTTTACAGCCTTGGAGACCAGGTGGAGGGTGACTGTCAGTCAGCATCTCCTTGATGACAGGCATTTTTTGTTTGTGGTTCATTTCATGTTTTGGTTGATTTTCCTGAAGCTTGAATTCTGAGAACTTAACTGGGAGAAGGAGGCAATTAAAATCTGAACACCTCAGTTCTCTGAAAAACAAAAACAAAGCAGTTGACACCAGAACATTTAGTCTTCATTGGACAGTGTGAGGGACACATTTTTTTTTAATGTTTTACTATGATTTGAGTGAGTCTTTAAAGTTTGAATTGGCTTTCCGTTCGACAGTTGATGCACATTATGTTTCGTGACATTAATTACAATCCTCACATTGTAACTGCAGTTTTTGTTTCCATTCATCCTATCGTTTTCTTCCCTCTAAACTTACCCCACCTTGATCTTGTACAGTTCATTGCTCTAAGGAGTATGTTCTTGCATTTTATTGGTCATCTCATAGGCTTGATGTTGCCTGGAAATTGAGTCAAAAGAATGATTTAAGTTTCAGGCTTGACGGGTAACCAAGGGTCATGAGAATCCTCATGAGAATTCCCCAGGCTCAGTTGGACCATTGATACGGGTCTTCTTTTTTTCTTTTTTTTTTCTCCCCACAAATAATAATTTTTATTTGTCATTATTAAAAGTTTTAATTTTAAGCAGATTCTTGAACTGGTAGCTCGTAGCCATCAGCTCGTTCAACTTTAGCACCTGTCTCATCTCCAGTAGCTTGTCCAGAGCTCCCACCTTCACCATGAAGCTCCAAGAGTTTATCCAATTCAAACTCAAGCTTCTTCAGCATTTTTACTTTTCTAACAAATGCATCACGGAGAGGATAAGTAGACTGGCAAGCCTTTTCTTTGTGTCTTTCCCAATGCTCTCTGGAATCAACTTACTGACCACCTCTTTCAAGTCATTTGTCTGCACCTCTCGGGTCATGATTTCCATCATTTACTTCCGGATTTGGCAGACCTATTGGTGCTGAGCATAAGATATCTTCCGATCTGATTGTTGCATTTTTTTTTCTTGTAAAACCAGCACAAAACAGATGAAGCAAATAACCATTAACATGAGCTTCAATCATGGTCTGCAATTTTTTGACCATGGGGCACGTTTTGTCCCGGGTAAGATCCACGCCATGGAAGTTGAGGAGGCAGTTTGTGCCTTGAACATCCTCGGTAATTAGCTTGAGTTTTCTAAATGCAACTTCATCATTTTGCAAATCAACTAGGCTCACATCAAGAACACGACCCTTGAGTCCATCAGATGCCGTTTTGGCTCCTTGAGTCCTTGTGACTAGTGTCTTCCCAATATTTCTTATATTGAAATAGCTGGCGCCTTTACATCATACCAGTCTGTCTTAGAAAATGGGTCCACCACTTTCTTCTTGGCTCCTTTTTGCCACCTTTTGTAGGGCGCTTGTTGTTGCCTCCCGCAGTGGTGGTGCCCAGAGAGCGAAAAGGCGATATACAGGTCTTAATTCAAACCAATTTGAAGTCCACAGCGTGACTATAAACTAAAACAAGTATTTACTTTAAAAAAAAAAAACTTTGGTGTCTTCTGTTTTCAGTGACATTGATCTTGTGGTATTTGGAAAATGGGAGAATCTTCCTCTCTGGACCTTGGAAGAAGCTCTTCGGAAACATAAAGTTGCAGATGAGGATTCTGTGAAAGTTCTAGACAAAGCAACTGTAAGTTAAAATCTGCTTACCTATGAAACTTAGCAAATCAAAATCTGATTTTGTAAGGACAGCTGGATTATGAGTGACTAATCCTTTTGTCTTTGTTGATGTCACATAAAAAAGGTTTTGTGCAACAGGTTAACTTATTCTCCTTATACTTTGTTAATTTTTTTTAGTTACACAATATTTATGCAGAGATTTTTTAAAAATATGAAACACTGTAAATTAAAAATAATATATTTATTGTAAACAGTTCATAGTGACACAAGATATCATTACTCTATGGGCTTTATATTTGTGAAACATATGTAAAGAGATTTTTGGAAACAAAATCAGATTTTAAATTTATCTGTAACCATTATGGGAAGCTTGTTATAGAAAGAATTAAATGGGTTTTAGAAATTTGAGGGGCTTGGGTTTTGGTTTTTTTTTTTTTAATTTTTGCATATTATAATTTCTTTTAGCAAAAGAAAACATGGGATTATGTTGTGTTTTGGGTTTGGTTTTTTAAAAACCCAACACTAAATTTGGAGACCTAGTTCTTAGCCCAGATTTTGGTGGCCTGTGTTTTCTGATGCAAATAGAGCATTACAGAAATGTCTTAGTGTCTCAGAGAAATCATGTCATCATTTTTGAGGGTCATGTTTATACTTTGTCTTCCTTAGCCACTTTATTCTTTAAGCTATTGCAGAACTGAGCAGTAGCACAGATGAGTTAAGAGGTTATGTCATTTATCAGAGGTTTGATGATGTAACATAGTTTGTGAAATAGTTAAGTATTTATCTGGTGTTTGTAGTTCTTGATCTTTTACTAAGTTTGAAACTTTCCCAAAACATATAAAATTGAGAAAGGTTTGGTTGGTTTTTTGGGGTGGTTTTTTTGGGGGTTTTTTGAGAGAGGTTTTGTGAGTAGATTTCTAAGTCTACAGAGACTAGAAAATAAAGGATATAGTTTTTGAAGTTAAATGCTCTTGCCGAGTGTGTGTAGAAGACCAGGGTAAGTGGAGTTGGTAGTATTCAGAGTATTCCCAAGGATTTTTGAGGTGGTCCAGACCTCTTTTTCATTTACAGTGTTTTAATTTCATCTTCTTTTTCTAGGTACCTATTATTAAATTAACAGATTCTTTTACTGAAGTGAAAGTTGATATCAGCTTTAATGTACAAAATGGTGTGAGAGCAGCAGACCTCATCAAAGATTTTACCAAGGTCAGAGAATTTGAAGTGTTTGTATGATGAAATTAACTAGAAATGTAAATTTGCTCTGAGATTCTGTTGTGCTGGTATTTGGGTATTATTTGCTAACTTAGTTTTATTTGCATGTTACTGACAGGTATTTCTTACTTTTCCATGCAGTAGTTTTCTTTACTTGAATCTGCGTTTAATAACCAGTAACTAAATTAGAATATAATCTCAAGTGAAATGGAAGGGGTGAGAAAGCTTTTGAAAATGACCTCAGTGGCAAGCTCTGGTGGCCTAGTGGCAAGAAGCAGCACTGCAATCCCAGAGATGCATGGTTGAAATCCACCAGATGCTCTGCTGAAGAAGGAGGAACAATCTCCTCCTGTACCAGTTAGATCTGACAGTATACACACAAAATAATACTTTTTTAAAAAAAAAGAAAATTACCTCAGTGGTTTTACTGTTTTGGGGTTTTTTTTTATGTTTGTGTGAAATTTTACAAATCATATTGGTTGTCACTTAATTATTCATACACATTTTGTTTTATAACATTAATTATTAGTTATCATTTATCTGGAGACTAAGGTGCGTCTGATACAGGCCATGGTCTTTGCTTTCACTTGTTATGCATCAGAGAGTTGGACAATGACCAAGGGTGATAGAAGGAGAATTGATGCCTTTGAGCTGTGGTGCTGGAGAAGAGTATTGAGAATACCATCGACTACTAGGAAAACAAACAGATTTGTCCTGGAAAGGGTTAAACCGGGTGGCTCCTTGGAGGCAAGGATTCTGAGGCTCCGTCTAACATACTTTGGACATGTTGTAAGGAGGGACTGGTCCCTGGAAAAGGACATCGTGCTTGGTAGGGTGGAGGGACAGCACAGGAGGGGAAGGCCCTCTATGAGGTGGATTAATTCAGTGACTGGGGTAATCGGGATGAGTGTGTCAGAGGCAGTGCAATTGTCACAGGACAGAACAGAGTTTAGGGTTGTTGTACATAGGGTCACTATGAGTCGCAAATGACTCAACGGCACATAACAACATAACAATATAATTGCTTACATTGTCGTGCCACATCCTTATTATATGTTACCTTTCCCTTCACCTAGTTTATCTATTTATTAATTTTTATTCCACTTTCCTTCCCTTCTCATCCCTCTTAACTCTCCAGAGTGCTTCTGTGTGTAGATCTTTCCCTTAGCTTTTTATATAAATGATCTGAGACTGTACTTGTCCTTTTGTGATTAACTTATGCTACTAAGCATCATTTGTTCTGGATTCATCTATGTTGTGCAGTATTTACAAATCTGTAGTTTGTTTGGTTTTTTTTAATGTATAATGTGCCATCGAGTCTTGTTGGTTTTTGTTTTTGTTTTTGTTTTTTTTAATTGGCATATCCTGTGAATGTACCAGGTTTCTTTAGCCATTCTTGGATACTTGGAATGTTTACAGTATTCTTTGCTATTTAAATAGTGTGCCAGTAAACATGAATGTGAGGATGTCAGTTTGTGTTACAGCTCTTAATTTCTTTGGGAATATATACCTAGCAGAGGCATTGCTGGAGCAAATGGAGTTTCCCTTTGCAACTTTCTAAGGAAATGACAGACTGCTTTTCCAGAATGGTTGCACCATTTCCATACCCACCAGCAGTACATGAGGGTTCCAGTTTCCATATCCTAGCAAGCATTTTTGTTGGTTTGATTTATTGAATGTTGCTATTTTTCCTGTGGTGAGATGGTATCTTCATACCGTTTTGATTTACATCTTTCTAATAACATTTTTTCATGTATTTATTGGCCATCTGAGTGACTTCCTTTGATGAATTGTCCTTGTCCTCTGTTCATTTTGTAATGGAGCTTATCTTTTTCCTGTTGACGTGTTGGGATTTTTTTATAATTTTGAAAGATGAGTCCCTTGTCAGATGTTATTGTTGCTAAATAATTTTTTCCGAGTCTGTAGGTTTTCTTTTTATCTCTTTTGGAGAACTCTTTAGATATACATAAGGATTTCATTTTTAGGAATTTCTAAGCATTTAGTGGATACTCTGTTGATTAATCCCTCAGTTCTTTTTTGATGGTCTGGTTATGCCATAGGAAAGTATTCTATATGTTTATGAGGCCTACATGGTTGACTTATTCTTTAGTTCTTAGCCATCTTTGTTGAATTTTTTTCTAATCATTCTGACTTTTATAGAAAGTGATATATTGGTATCTCCTACTATTATTGTAATCTCCTACTATTATTGTAAGGGAGTCTGATGGACTAGGGATAAGGTGTTGCGCTGCAAACCCAAAGGCTCTTGGTTCAAATCCACCAGCTGGTCTTTAGAAGGAGGATGGGCAATCTCTTCTGTCTTCTCCTTATGCTGTTTACTGCCTCTGAAAACTTACTGGAGGTTCAGCTATGAGTCAGCTCCTAGTACATGGTGCAGAAGAACAATTATTATGGAATTGCCTAGTTCTCTTTTCATATCTGTTACAGTTTGATATGTGTATCTTGCAGTTCTGTCATTGGGTGTGTAGAAAATCATTTTGGTTTTATTGTCTTGTTCAGTTGACCCTTTAATCATTGTCTAGTACCCTTCCTTGTCTCATACTGTTTTTTTTCTTCATACCTATATATCAAAAATCAAGATTGCCACTCCTGGTTTTTTGATTATTACTTATTTCATATATTTTCCCCCTATCCATTGACATTTAGTCTAGCTTTGTGCTGTATCTAATGTGTGTCTGTTGTAGACAGCATATTTTTGGGTCTTATTTTCTTATCCATTCTGCAGGGTTTGTTTGTTTTCTTGACTGTTTAGTGCATTCACATTTGTAATTTTCATAGGTATGGTTTGAAGAGATGTGGTTCGAATGCACCAGATACTCCAAGGGAGAAAGATGGGCACTTTCTTCCTGTGAAATTTGCAACCTCTGAAAACCCACCACAAGCTATGAGTTAGCTTCAACTTGATGGCACATAACAGCAACAGTCAGCTCTTTACTGTTTATATCCTTTCCTTTTACTCAAGTGTTTATAGCATGGATTGAGGTTCCTAAATTTTACCAGTTTTTTTTCTTTCTTTATAGTTTTAGCTTTTATGCCTGGATCCTTGATCCATTTAAAGTTAGGGTTTTTTTATATATGATGTGAGATAAAGATCTTGTTTCAGTTTCTTCAGATAAATAGTAACCCAGTTCTGCCAGCACCAACTCCATCTAATGAATTTCATCTGTTTTTAAAGATGAGCTGTCCATGTTGTTGTTAGGTTCCATTGACTCAAGTATGACTGAGATTGACTCTTTGAACAGCAGATCTGAACCATGTCCTAGTCTGTGCCATCCTTACTGTCTCTGACATACTTGAGCCCATTGCCACAGTCACAGTGTCAGTTTATCCTGTCGAAGGTCTTCCTCTCTTTCACTGGCCCTCTGCCTTTCCACGTATGTCTCTTTCCAGGGAATAGCCCTTCCTAATAATATGTCCCTAGTATGTGAGACGAAGCTTTACCATTCTTGCCTCTAAAGAGCTTTCTTGTTGTACTTTCTCTGTGACATATCTGTTTGTTCTTTTGACGGCCCTGAGGATATTCAGGACTGTCCTCCATCACCACAACTCAAAGGCATTCGTTCATCTGTCATCTTTACTCGTTGTCCAGCTCACAGGTGCATAGCAGGTGATAGAAAAGATCGCGGCTTGAATCAAGTGCACCTTGGTCTTTAAACTGGTATCGCTCTTCAGGACTTTAAATAGGTCCCCGACAGTGGACTTTCCCAATGCAACATGTCTCCTGATCTCCTGGCTTCTGGTACCAAAGGCTTCTGCAGTAAGCTCTGGATCCAAGTAAGATAAAATCATGGATGGATTTATATCCAAGTTCTCAGTCCTGTTCCATTGTACACTTCCATGACTGTGGTTTTGAGATTGGGAAGATTAAGGCCCCCTATTTTGTTTTTCTGTTTCAGTAGTTGTTGTATTTTATCCATGGTCTCTTTAGTTTCTCCATATTGGATATAGTGGACAGATTCATGAATTTTCCTTCTGAGACTATGGGATTTTGCTGTATCTAGGATTATATCATCTGCAAACAGATAGTTTTACATCTTCTTTGCCAGTTTGGATGCCTTTTATTTCTTACTTTGGACTTACTGGCTAAAACTCCATTTCATTATTGGCAACTACCAATTTTTCTCAGAGTATAATTCGTACATTACCTGCTTAGATTATCGTTAAGCATGTTTTTTTTCTCATTTTATTTCATGGTCTATCAGTATGTGAATGTCCTTCATTTACTGAAAGCATTCATCCTTCACATCATTAAGGAAGCAGCTCTTATGTAAATGGATTCTGAATGTCTTTCAGTCTGAAATGTGTGTAATCTTGCTGGTATTTGAGACACTGATAGCATAGCTTTCAGCATTACAGCGAGGTACAAGCCTCCACCACATGACAAAACTGGCAGATGTGGTGGCCAGAAAACATGAGTAAGGGTAAAAAAGTAAATAGAAATCACTAGTCATTTCACCTCCCCAGATAATGGCTGACAGGCTTCTTTAGAGAACCCTTGCATCTGCTTTGCTTCCCTTCATGTTCTTAACTAGCTTGGGGTCTAGTTTGTAGTAAAAGCTTAAAGCTTGAGCAAAAGATGTGACCATATCTGCTAGCTGTGCCGTTCTCATGAATATCACTATCTGGTTCTTTAAAAAATACGCAAGGTCAGTCTGTATGTGGTCATCAACCCAGGTATTGGACAGTAAGCAGGATTGCTTCTGTTCATGGGTGAAGTAGAATGAACACCCTGTGAAGGTAGGATTCATTGTCCTTGTGATGTTTACTGCTCTCTTTTTACAGGTGAGTATCACATGCTAATGTTGATAAATATATGTTAGCAAATACCTAGTGTTTTGATCTTGTACTGAGTGCTAGGCAGTGCTGTTGGTGTAGTCCATACAGGGTTGCTCTGTTAACTCAAAGGCCACACTCTCTGACAAGTGTAATCTGTCACTGACCCCTCTCATGTGACATTCAGCCTCAGAAAATCAGTGGAGGATTAGCTATGAATCAGTTCTAACTCCGCAGCAGTGAGAGAGAGAGTGTGAATGAGTGCTTAAGTGTAATTATTAAGAAAATTATTGAAAAATATTTTTTTTTATTTCTTTTTCAGAAATACCCTGTGTTACCATACCTGGTTTTAGTATTGAAACAGTTCTTACTACAGAGGGACCTTAATGAAGTATTTACAGGTGGAATTGGTTCTTATAGTCTCTTCTTAATGGCTGTCAGTTTCCTTCAGGTAAGCCTTAAAGTTCAATTCAAGCTTTAATTGGAATACATTTCTTGATTATTTATAGCTTCTTTGCTTTAAATAGGTAATTTTAATTTTTAATAATTTATTAAATAAATGTCATTATTTTTAAGAAAAATACTTTTGGTTTTGATCTTCTAAGTTCTGATATTTTTGAAAATTTTCAAAACTGCAAATTTTAGCATAGAGGTCTGGCTTGCTTCCTAGAAGTGTAAATAGTAGTATAAATGCCAAGCAAGTTTTCTAAGCCACTAACCTAGTAAGTTTAACTAGAATTAAGACTCACTCTTTGTGCTCAAAGTCTTAGATTCATAAGCGAATATGTTTATGTGGTGTAGAGTTGGCAACAGCTTGATTCTGTATATGAATCTGACTGCTGCCCTGATGAATCGGGCCAGCACCTACATCAGCACCCTGGGACAGGTGTAACGTTCATCCTTAGTACAGTCTCCCGAGCTCTCATCCCCATCACGCTCCAGTATTTTCTGGGATAGCTGCATACTGCCTGCTGTCACCCTGTCCCTTTTGGCTGCTTAGGACCTGCTGTTCTGCCTTTATTTCTCAGCTGCTGTGCTAAACTAAATAATATCACTCGTGTGTTAAGGTGTCAGTTTTATCCCCTCCCATTTTGGTAATACAGAAAAATTCAATATGATTTCTTCTTTCCCCCTCCCTCCTGTTTTTAGTTACATCCTAGGGAAGATGCTTGCATCCCCAATACAAACTATGGTGTTCTCTTAATAGAATTTTTTGAATTATATGGACGACACTTCAATTATTTAAAGACTGGCATCCGGATAAAAGATGGGGGTTCATATGTGGCCAAAGATGAAGTACAGAAAAATATGCTAGATGGCTACAGGCCATCAATGCTTTATATTGAAGATCCTTTACAACCAGGTATGGAAATTAAGTAAATTAAGAGGCAAGTTAGAGAAGAGGGTGGTATGGTCATCTAAGTGGGCCATGAGTGGTAGTTGAAATGGATTATGAAGGAATTACTTTAAATTGTAGCCATTTTTTTCTCCGCCAAAATGGATAAACAAACATACCAAAATAAACACACATGTTTCCCAATGGAAATGGAAGCCATTTGACTCTTAGAAGCAAAGATAATAGCAAAACGCAACATAAGAGACAAGGAAGGGCATTTTATAAAGACTTGTTAGCTCTCTTGTGGCTAGGCATTTTGTTGCCAATACAAAGGTAGGTAGTTTGAATCCACCAGCTATTCCATGAGAGAGAGATGAGCACTCTATTTCCCCAGGCTGTTTACTGCCTCTAAAAATCCACGGAAGGGCCAGCCATGGTTCGGTTCCGACTCACAACACCACCTAATGATAGAGCTTCCCAATATATAAATTAAATATTAACACATTTTAATAGGGGAAATGGACAGCTTCACAATAATAGTAGGAAACTTTGGTACATTACTTTTTTTCTTTTTTTTTTTTTTTTTTACTTTTTTTCATTATGCAGATTTCACACACACACTTTCCTTCATTGACATTATGTTTCATACAGTTATTCCCATACATTGTGTTTCATAAAATTCATCACTGTTGAACTATGTCCACCATTACCCCATCTTTTCAGGTCTCCACCAATCTTTCCCATTTCCTTTACCCTCTCCCTCCACCCATTAAATTGTGTAACCCTATGATTTTCCCTCTTGCCCATTCTCACCCCTCTACTCTTACCCTTTCCCCCTTTGGGTCCCCATACATATTTTACTAGTTATCCTTCTATTTTTACAGTAGTCTTATGCAGTATTTGTCCTTATGAGACTGAGTGAGTTCACTCAGCATAATGTTCTTCAGTCTCTCCCAAGTTATGTAGTATTTTACTAAGTCATTACACCTGAATGCTGCATAGTATTCCGTTGTGTGAAGGTACCACAATTTCTTTCTTTTTTTTTTTTTCACTGCAAAGGGAAATTTTATTTTACAAATTGTTATTATTAAATGCTACAGAGTGTCATCACCTGAAAATGGACCATTGTATGCCTACAATTCACATCTGTAATCATAAATGAGTTTTCATGATTTATGTAAATCCGTGAGATTTAATGAGAAACAAACAGCCATAATAACTGATGTTTCAGATTGCAATGATGATGTTTTTAATCATCTTTCATAAGCAATCTTATGTAAGTAATAAATCAATCAAAAGTTCCAAGTCTCCAAAGGTGTTTTTAAATATACATAAACACATGGTTACAGATAGGGAAAATTTAAGAAGCATCTTCCATATCCACATCCTCTTGCAATTTCTGGTACCACAATTTCTTAATCCGTTCATTTGTGGTTGGACATTTGAATAATGCTCCTGGGAACATTGGTGTACAAATCTCGATTTGTGTCTCAGTTCTAATATCCTTGGGGTATATTCCTAGGAGTAGAAAACTGGGGTTATACAGAGTTTCTATATTCACTTTTGATAAAGAACAGAGTAGAAAGAAACTCAACAAAGACACCAAAGAATTAAATAATAAAATTGACCAACTTGATCTCATAGACGTGTATAGAACACTCCACCCATCAAGAACACAGTATGAATTCTTCTCCAGTGAACAGCAAACATTCTCCAAAACAGATCATATGTTAGATTACAAAGTAGGGTTTATTTAGTAAGTTGAAAAATACTAGAGAGTATCTTCTCAGATATCTATACTATAGGATTGGAAATCAGCAATAGGAAGTAAAAAAAGATCTCAAATATATAGAAACTAAATAACACCCTTTTCCTGTGTACCAGCAATATGCCTCTTCGCTATTATCTGAGGTGACATCCGCCGGTGCGCAGCTTCCAGGCTTCCCCTCTGCCCAGGGGCGCACCCTCCGTGTCCCCCCAGCACCTCCTCCCGATGGCACTTGCTGCGAAGGGTCAAGGACTGCAGCCTTCAGTATGTACTGAGGCTCAGTGTCAAGAAGACAAAGATTCTCACCACTGGACCAGTTGGCAGCGTCAGGATAGATGGCGAAGAGATTGAGAGTATTCACAGCTTCAGTTTGCTTGGCTCCACAGTCAACACTCTTGGCACCAGCAGTCAGGAAATCAAAAAGCGTATCGCGATGGGAAAGTCTGCTGTTAGGGACCTCTCTAAAGTACTCAGGAGCAACGGTGTCTCTCTGGAGACTAAGGTGCGCCTGATACAGGCCATGGTCTTTGCAATCACTTGTTATGCATCAGAGAGTTGGACAATGACTAGGGAGGACAGAAGGAGAGTTGATGCCTTTGAGCTGTGGTGCTGGAGAAGAGTACTGAATGTACCATGGACTGCCAGGAAAACAAACAGATTCATCTTGGAGAGGATTAAACCAAGCTACTCCTTGGAGGCAAGGATTCTGGGGATTTGTCTGACATACTTTGGACATGTTGCCAGGAGGGACGGGTCCTTGGAGAGGGACATCATGCTTGAGAGGGTGGAGGGACGGCGCAGGAGGGGAAGACCCTCTATGAGATGGATTGATTTGGTGGCTGGGGTAATCGGGGTGGGTGTGTCAGAGGCAGTGCGGTTGGCGCAGGATAGAGCAGGGTTTAGGGCTGTTGTGCATAGGGTCGCTATGAGTCGCAAACGACTCGACGGCACATAACAACAACAACAAATAACACCCTACTTTAATGCTACCTGGTAATAGATGCAATAAGAAATGGCTTGAAACAAATAACAAAAACACAACATAGCAAATCTCTGGAACACAGCAAGAGCACTGCTCAGTTTTAGTTAAGAACAATAAATGTACACATCAAAAAGGGAAGAAGAACCCAAATCAACAAACACCTTAACATCTCTTAACAATTAGAAAAAAGAACAGCAAGCAAAACCAACTGTCTCCAGAAGAAAGAATAAATATTAGAGCAAAAATAAATGAAACAGAAAAACAATAGAAAGAATGAGTAAGACTAAAGTTGGTTCTCTGAGAGGATTAATAAAATCAACAAAGCCACTGGCAAATATCAAGAATGGAAAAGGAGGAGAGATGAAAATAACATGGATAAGAAATCAAATGGGTAAAGTCAGAGCAAAACCAACTGAAATACAAAGAACATAGAAGAAAAAGTTCTCAGTACAATTCCAAGGATTAGCATCCAACATCATATAAAAAAAAAATCATTCATCATGATCAAATGAGATTCATTCCAGGTGTGCAAGCATGGTTCAGCATTGCATGAAAAGCATTTCAATTTATCCCCTGCATTATTCAGACAGGAAAATAATGACATGATCAAGTCATTTGTTGCAGAAAGACATTTGATATAGTTCACACTCTTTCCTTATAAAAATGCTCAAAAGAGGAACAGAGGGAAATTACTCAATATAATTAGAAGCATATCTACAAAACCAACAGCAAACATGACTTTTTTTAAAAAAACTTTTTTTTTTAAGTTTTATTATATTATTTTTATGTGT